TTATGGGATAGTGGTGAATAGCTTTGAGGAGTTGGAACCAGAATATGTAAAAGCATTGAAAAACGCCAAAGGTAATTTTGAACTGTTAAAGTATGCGACAATCTTATCTAAACACTTATACAAGAAAGATCATAGTATTAATTAATTAATTAATTAATAATAGTATGTCTTATTGTGCTTGCCTGAATCGAGGTTTTAGTAGAAACAACCTCTATAACTGTACAAGGTAGAAAGTAATTAAGGTATGCATACATACTATCATCTCCAGACCCTACATAGGAGAATACACCGGGTATATTGTTGTTGCTGTTGTGATTTATATTATATCTCAATTTTCATGGATCAAACACATCAAAATAATATTCTTTCCTTACGGATGGTGTCATATTTGAATCCACGGTCTGTACTTCGTCTAATATCACATTGAATTGTGTGGTCATCAAATCTTATAGTTTAATATTGATAGACAAACGCACTTTTAATTACATAATTATATTATATCACCCATAACCACCGCTTACTTTAATATCATATTGAATTGCGTGACATTTTTTTAAAAGTTTAAGTTGTTAAAAAAAAAACTTTTTTTAATTACATTACTACGTTATGTCTCAACACATGTGGTTTGGTTTTTTTTCATAGGCTAAGCACGTGAAAATTTTTGTTATTTCTGGGTGGTAGTGAGATTTGAAAGCATGACCTATACGTGCTCTAATATTATGTTGAATTGTGTGATGATCTTATTTAAAAGCTTAAATTATTAGAAGGAGCATACTTTTAATTAATAAATTATATTATGTCTCGAACAGGCAAGAAGTTTGGACAATTGGTCCTGTTTCCCTGTGCAACAAAGAGAAACAAGACAAAGCAGAAAGTGGAAGCAAAGCCTCAATAGATGAACACCACTGCCTGAAATGGCTAGATTCTAAGGAACCAAACTCTGTCCTCTTTGTTTGTCTTGGAAGTTTATCGCGCTTGCGAACATCACAAATGATAGAACTTGGACTTGGATTAGAGTCATCTGAACGACCTTTCATTTGGGTTGTTACACACATCTCAGATGAATTTAGAAAATGGCTAAATGAAGAGAATTTTGAGGAAAGAGTTAAAGAACATGGGATTTTAATCCATGGTTGGGCCCCACAAGTACTAATATTATCACACCCTTCTGTCGGGGGATTCTTGACACACTGTGGATGGAATTCGAGCATAGAAGGAATATCTGCTGGCGTGCCAATGATTACTTGGTCATTATTTGCTGAGCAATTTTGTAATGAGAGGCTAATTACGAATGTTCTCAAGACAGGAGTAAAGTCTGGCGTAGAGAATCCTGTTATGTTTTTCGAGGAGGAAAAAGTGGAAACACAAATGAATAAAGATGACATTAAGATGGTTATTGAAAGATTAATGGGTGAAGAAGAGGAAGCAGAAATGAGAAGAGAAAGAGCTAAAAAGCTTGGAGAAATTGCAAGAAAGGCTGTGGAGGAAGGGGGTTCCTCTTACCTGAACTTGACAAAACTAATACAAGATGTCAAAGAGCAAGCTAATAATGGAAAATCTATTTGAAGTCTAATATTTGATTAGGATAATGCAATATACTGCATACATATTTCATTTGAAGCTTTAGCAAACTGTTAATGATACAGAATGTTTTGTTTACAATCTATAGTGGGCGTTGTCTATTTCGATTTAGACGGGCACTTTCGCCTTTGTTTTACCCACGGCATATTAATGCGGTGGCAAATTGCAGCATGGAAATATAGAGATAGTCCAATCTGCAATATGTGGACTTCAAGATAAGGTTTTTGGGAAGCTATATGAAATCAGCGGCAGATCGAGGATTTCACAAGAATGGAGGCACTATTATGAATAGACGGATCCGTGATTTACTTTTGAAATTATAAGCTAAGTTCAAGTCTTTATATTTTTAAAAATGTGACTTTTCACACACACACACACACACACATATAT